TTTGTGTGTAATCAATAAATATGAACGGAAGTTCAGGATTCAGTTAAGAGAAACTGTTTTTCCCTGCTGCCAGAGAGCCTAAAATTAGATTCTGGGGTGACTCTCCTAATTTGAGCACATGACATATCTTTATTTATTTATAATGCATTTCACATTCAGTAGCTTATTTATTTAATCGCTGCTTTGCCTTGTATGGTTCAGCCACAAAGATTTGAGTCTGAACTGAGGGTGTAAACTGTCTCTCCAGTTGAATGAGGGCGCTGCTGTGTATCTCAGTGCATAGGAAATAAATGTCTCTATGGCAAACACGTGCTCCTCTTCCATGGAGAACAGTAGTGGGACATCAAAGTTCTCAGGCTAAGTATACCATGGAGTCTCATTGACAGCATTCACTTCTATCTCAAGCATGCCTACTTTTCTCAGAACAGCATATCATGTTGTCTTATATCATTACTCAGAGAAGACAGTGCTTGAATCATCTGCCATTCTGGACTTTGTCTTGGATGATTTTAATACATGTTATTTTGTTATAATGGTCTATAACTTTGTGTACAATGGCTTATTTATTTATTTATGATAGGATCTTGCTATGTACTCACTATGTAGCCCAAGCTCTCCATGAATCCTAACTTTTGATGTATTTCAGTGTGACCCTGAGTTCCTGATTCTCCTGCCTCCACCTCCCAAATGTGGAGATCATAGGTTCACTGCTTTGTAATTCTTCAAGACTTCTTCTATTTTGTTTCTTCTTTTATATATTTTTCTAATTCTTAATATAATATTTTATGCTTTCAATATTATACTTAAAAATCTGTCAATCAGTAGTCTTAGACTTTACATATTAATTAGTTTTAACTTTGTGTCTAGCTTTGTTTTGTTTTCCTTGGCTGTCCTGGAACTCCCTATGCAGGCCACGGCTGGCCTCAAACTCACATTCGTCTGCCTGCCTCTATAAGTGCTGAGAGTGAAGGCATGCACCACCATGTCAGAAATTTGTGCCTAACTTTAAGACCCTTTACTTTGTTAATCCAGATTATTTTCATATTTCATCATCTCTTACTCTACAGTACTGAGATTTAATTGTCTTATAAGCATGTATTTTCATGCTTTAATTCCCTTTTCTTTCTTTTTTCTTTTCTTTTCTTTTT